TATTAAAGCAAATTTATATATAACAATATATAAATTCAAGTTAATGAGACAACACGTTTGTCACCTTCAAACCTGGTTATAATCTCATAGTAACAGGATAAGCTTGTCAACAGCCACAAAAAGGCGATATCCAATAGTCCAAAGTTCAAATGTTTCTCTGGGCATGTGTAAAACCGAATGAAAGATCAACTGACCAATCATATGTCAACAACGAACACGCAGAACAAAGGTCAATGTGATAAGGGAGTTCACTTTGACAAATATCCCAACAAAGAGCAATGTCTTGTTACCGAGAAAGAAAATTTGAAAATTTGACTTGGTGCGGAGCTGTAAAGAATTACGGACATCGAATGAACTGAGACAATGTGACAGAAAAGAGTTTATGAACGCTGGAATTGACATATCATGGTTATATTAAAGAAAATTTGGTCAGTAACTCAGTATGATAATTCAGTGAGACGCAGTTTATTCAAATAGAACTCTACCGGACAAGCGCTTTTACTCTTCTGGTGGACAAAGGAATACGTTGGCCCAAGTCCCGACGAAGTTATTACCATTAAATGAAACCGCCGCTGGGGGAATAACAACAAGATCGATAGGCTAAAGCCGCTAAACACGAAATCAACAAGCGTTCAATTGATATCATTCCATGTCTCAATGCACATGCTTCCTAAAGTGAAGCGGTATTCGGCGCGTAAGTATGCGGTGCATTGACACGTTTGTTTCGTATTCCGCATCTCAAACCAACCAAAATGTATTAAAATTCGTCTATTTTATAACAACATTCTGGTGTATTTATATTTGTCGATCAAAAATTCCAATGACAATTTTATTACTACCTTGAGGTTAGCCGCAGTTTAAGGCTTCAGATTACGCCTCAGATTTGGCGTTGGATTGGGTTTCAATCAGGCCTTACATTAAACTGTATTCAATCGCTCAAAAGTAGAATTATAAAACTTCTTTTTCAGCTATTTCACAAAATTAATTTGACCTGCATACATTTTCAATACTTTACTGTTCAAAACTTAAGAAAGCAAGCTCATTTGTGAACGAAATTTGAGACTTAAAACTCTGCACATGATATACGTTTAGGTACATTTGCGATAAATCGGCAAGATGGATATCAGGAAAGATTGGTACGATACCATGTATGCCTACGCTTTTGAAAATTGAAAATCCTTTGATGTACTATTATTTACTGCATATAATCTATTTTGACTACCAAATACATATTCTTACAATTTCTTTCTGCTAATATCATGCATGCATGATTGGATGTTCGATCGCAAAATTTTGGTCTCGCTATTTTGACAAGGTTCCAAATGAGGCCAGTTGTGCCTGGGAACCCAATCTCATAAATTTTCCAATTTTAGGCAAAAAAATGGTAAAAATTAAAAAACTAGGCAAGCAGAAAGCGTAAACTAGGACGCCCTGATATAGGTCACAAAATCGGTTGTCAGTTTGTGTTGTGTACGTGTATTCTACATTATCGTGCTTAATTTGGAAATATTCTGCTATTGTAATACCGTATGTAAAGCTGTTTCCGTATTATATTAATAATCTCTGTTTTAGGAATGTTTTTATTCTGTCAACACGTCTAGATTCAGATTAAAACAACGTCATTACGCGCGATTGGTATTTTGGAGTCTGGGAACGTCCCAGTTTTTGACGACAACAGCCTAGTTTTTTTGTTTTTGCTTTTTTTCCAAATACGGTAATTCTAGGACGTTCTTTGACCCTTGCGCACAAAAAACTGGGACGTTCCCGTTATTTTTCACCTTCTCACGCCCAGAAAACTAGGCAGTTTGCATTTATATAATTACAATGCGTGATATCAAATTACATTTGCGCAACTGAATCTATCGCAATAACATTGGTGTATAAAACAGAACAAAAGCAAGAAATACATTATATTCCTTGTATTCAGTACAGCTACCAATAGTACAATGTACTGAATATTGGTTATTACGCTTATCACTCATTTATCGAGGCAATGATTATTTACGCAAATAACGCAATGACGAATTGTGATTCATGTTTGGCGTACATTACATCAACTAAATTGGATTCTTCGGCGGTGTTGTTTTTAAAGCTGTTGTTTCTAATAATGTGGGCATAGGCATGGTCTTGTTTTTTTAGTTTGAGTACTAAAACTAGAGTTTTTATTATATAAACCAACGTCTATATATAGACTCTATACATGAATTGTAAAAGTATATCACACTCATCTCTAAGCTGCACTTGACCTTTAAAACGGTAACTTTATAACGTCACAGTATTTATGGTCACCACTTTTCCCCTGATGCTTTGCTAACATGCAAATTGTCTAGTATTGATTTTCAAAAGAACTTAG